CCGAGGGCCGCCTGCTGCTCCCCGACGCACGCCGCTCGTCCCCAGCTCCCTGCGCCCGCCCTGCCTCCAGGGCCCGGCCTGTGGGATTTGGGAAAAGAGGCCAGAGCGGCCTAGCCAGGGTCCAGGGACATCACCCCCTGCCGTCGGGCCCCTTCCCAGCCCCAGCAGGGCGCTGAGAGAGGCCGGCAGGGCCTCTGGGCTCGCAGGCTCTGCAGTGGGGTGGCCTGGGTTCAGATCCCCTAGGGGCCGGGCAGAACGGGGTAGACCATTTTAGGAGCCGGGCACATTTTAAAAAATTAAACAGGTGGTCAGCCTCTTGCCCAGCACGTGCAAGGCCCTGGGTCCCAGCCCCAGCACAGCACAAATAAAGGGGAAGCCCTGGTCACCTACGCGGCCTTCCCGGTGGCGTAGGGATAAAGGAAGAGCAGTTCCCAGACACTCAGGAGAAGTGTTCACAGCAGCTCTGTTCCTAAATGAGGGGATCAACAGGCTTCCCTCCATGGGACTCGGGGCTCAGCCACAAGGGCCAGGAACCACGGAGGCCGAGGCACTGTTGAGGGACCAAATAACAAGCTGAGTGAGGGGCTGGCGGCTGAGAGGACATCCCTTGTCCGTCACAGAAAACTCCAAGAAACGCAGCCTGAAGGAGAGCAGTGGAGGCCTGGGGACCTTGAGGACCTCGGGAGCTGGGATGGCCACCAAGGGCTGCAGGAGACTTGCTGGGGCGGGGGTCCAGGGCCATGGCGGTGATGGTTTTATGGTGTAAACACGCCAAACCTCAGCCAGTCGTGTGACCTAAGTATGTGGACTTGCTGTGTGTCCTGTGTGTCCAGGACACCGCAGCCAATGGAAGGCCAATTTCAGGACTTCCGGTGAACGACGTGGGTGGGGTCCTTTCACTTCTCCAAGTTCTTTACGAAACTGGCATAAGGAGGGATGGAACCTCATGGGCTGGTAGTGAGGGTTCACCAGCCTCATGTTGGTGAGTGGCTCAGCCCCATCCAAGGCCAAGAAGAACAGGACTGGAGCCCACCTGCCCCTCCCACCTGTCCCTCCCTGGGCTATCAGATGTGCCTTACTTTAGTTTGTCCCCCACTCATTGTGGTGCCTTTAAAATGAGAAGAGGAACCCCTGCTGCCTGCCAGCTCCAGCCACTTCCTGAGCTTATAAGGGAGAAGCAAGCCCCAACTCCATCCTCATGAGTCCACACCTTGATCCTTCCAACAAAGGGAAGAGCAATCCGGGCATATGCAAAGGCCCTGTGGCTGATGGGAGTGCAGGACATCCTAGAATCCACAGGAAGGGTTTGTGACTTGCATGGAGGTAAGTGGAGCCCAAACAGGCCTCATCATGTGACCTATTCTGTGCCCAGCAGGGAGGTTAATGTGGAGCCTCCTGAGGCTGCCAAGCCCTTGGATGTGGTTTGTAGGAGTCCGTGTCGGGGATTCCACGGCTCTGCAGATCCCAGCTCCCGACTCCGCAGCTCACTGCTTCTTGAATCACCATCTGGAGAATGGGGGGCGGGGCAGAGCCCCTTCACAGGGCCTGGCACAGGGCTCGGCGAGGGGGAGCCAGGTGGTACCGATGCCTCTGTCTGTTTGCTGTGTTTCTTGGTTTTCAGGCCCTGGGTACCTGGATGCTCTGTCAGTTGTGGGCTCCCGGGGACAGCTCCTGCAGCCCGTCCCTCTGAGCCTCTGTACCTGGCACAAATATGGCCCCAAGAAATGTCCCTGGAGGTGAATTGAGTGGCCCGGGAAGGAGACAGAGCTCTTGCTTTGGTGGGGTTCACTGTCTGGTCGGGGACAAGGAGATGCACTCCCCTCTGGTGGGCAGGGTGGCCCCAGGGATCCCAGCAGGAGCTGAGACACCCCTTTCCGCTGCCCTCTCAGGCAGTTTTAGGGTGAACATGGGGCCCTTTTCTGGTTTTCTGGGTGCAGCTGGTTCTGGGACCAGCCCGGCTTGCTCCCTGGCTCACTGAGCAGAGGCCCTGCCAGAGGCTGCCCTGCATCTGCCCGGTCCCATCCTCAGGCAGAGCCCCGCGCTGGGATGAGTGACCTTAGAGATTCCCACAGGCCAGGCCTGGAGGCTCCTGGCAGAGAGTGGACGCGACTGGCTGCCCAGCCAGGTGGGCTGGAGCCTGCCTGTGCTCACAGGCTGGTGCCCCTCCGCTGGGCCTGGGCAGGCTGCAGAACCGCCCCATTTCTTTCCTGCAGGGGTTGGTGCTTCCGTGGGAGCTTCCCAGGTTTGTGGCCGCGAAGGGGCAGCCTCTGGGGGGCAGAGGGCTCCGGCCATCCTTCCCATGACTGCCTTCCAAGCCCCCCTCACAGCAGGGTGGAGCTGTGGGAAGGGAGCCAGGGCAGGAGGGAGTCACCAGCCTGACCCCACCGAGCCAGCGTCAGGAGTGAGCCTGAGACCTGAGGAGTCAGCTGAGCAGAGGGTGCAGGCAAAGGGATCAGGGCACATGCAAAGGCCCAGGGGTAAGAACAAGGCAGGGTTCAGCGGAACAACTGAGAAGCAGAGAGCAAGAGGAGCGGCCCAGAGGCAGAGGCCAGCCAGGGCCGGACCTCAAGGTCAAGTTATTTTCAACATCCCACTAAGGGTACTGGGGACCCACGGAAGGTGGGGCAGGGAAAATGGCACCTTCAAAAGACCTTCTAGAAAGATCTCTGTCTGAGGAGAGAGGATTGCAGGGCCAAAGACAGAAGCAGGGAGACCATCGAGGTGCTGCAGATGTCAGGAGATAACGGGGGGCTGGCCCAGGATGGCAAAGGGGGTGGACGGACTGAAGGACTTAGAGGGAGATTTGACGAGCCTGGGGGCGGGGGGTGCAGAAAGGGGTGGGCAGGGGGGCCATCTGAGGCAGAGCTGGAGGAGGGCTGTCCTTAGTCTGGGGCTCCCACGGTTTCCCCGGGGGCCTCATAGACCAGCCCTGACCCTGCAGCTGCCCCCTTGGGCCCCCAGGGGTCTGTCCTGCCTGGAAATGTGGATCCCTGATGGGCAGAGGGCCCTATGGCTAAGCAGCGGGCAGCGCGGGGCCAAGTCCCAGGCCTGGGGGACACCAGCAGCCAGGGAGGAGGATCAAAGCCTGGCCTGACTTTCCGCCCAGATGAGTCATCCAGCACCCTGCCTGGGCCCCATCCCCCTCCTGAAGTTCCTCCTTCTGATAGATGGAGGCAGGGGTCAGACCCCCCAGCCCCGGGCAGCTGAGCCAACACTGCCGGACCCCCATGGAGCACAGGAGAGTGGGGACAAGGGGTGCCGTGGTCAGAGCCCCAGGCCCCAGGAACCTGCAGTGCCTCTTGCCCCAACACCAGGCCCTTCCTTGGCTCCAAGAGCCGAAAAGAGAAGCTCCCAAAAGACGGGGTCCACTGTGACCCCCTGCCCCACACCCCACCACAGCACAGCCTATTGGCTCTGCCACCAGGCTTGCCTCTTCTGCCCCCAGGGCCACCGTCCCCCGGGGCTGCAGCCTCCACCCCCCTTCACCACCCCCTCAGCGAAGCACCAGGGAGGCCCCGCAGCTTCCGGAGCACCCGGGAGGGCTTCTCCCTGGGCCCACCTCCTGGGGGGACCCACCCAGGCCACAGTTGGCCCCTCTTCCTCCCGTCAGCACCGCCATCCCGCGCGCTGGACACCTGGCCTGCCCCATGCTGCCGGCCCCTCTCTTGCTCACCTGTGTTAGTAGCCCACGCGGACAGAGGCGGAGGGAGGGACAGGGAGGGACAAAGCACACTGACTGGGCGTCGTCGCTGCATCTGGGGTGGGATGGTCCTCGACCAGCCACCACCATGTAAGGCGGGGCCCGCAGGTGATTGGGGGCAGCCTGTAGTGCAGGTGCCACGTGTGTGCACGAGGGTCCCTGGGTGTGTGAGCCTAGGCCACTGTCACAGTCTGTGCCCACTGAATCTGCCTGGTGTGCTGGTGTCCTTCTGGAGGGAGCCAGAGGACAGCAGGGTGAAGACAATGTCACCTGCTGCGAGGGGGGGCCAGGTCCTCAGCCTGGAGGTCAAGGTGCGGGCCCTGGCCCTTCCCCGCTGTGTGACTTGCCCCGTGGTGTGCCTCAGGGGACAGGTGGTTAAGGGAGCTCCCGCAGAGCCCTGCTGGGAATGCAGCCCCCCTCCCTGTCTCCTGTCCCTCCCTGTCCCTGGGGCCCAGCCTCCCAGGCCTGCTTCCCATCTGCTAAATGGGCATAAGAGCAGATGGCCACATGCAGGGGTCATGGGGCCCAGGAGCCGGGCTGGAGCAAGGCCAGGTGGGGCCTGGCCCGCAGGGCCTCGGGAGGCTGCCCGAACAGAGGGGGTGTCTGCAGCCAAGGTCAGGCTGGGCGGGGGTCGGGCTGGGACCTTGCCCAGCACAACGAGGACAGGAGGAAGAGAGGTCACGAAGCCTGGGCCTTCCTTCTCAGGCCTCGTCCTCTGCAGAGGCGGGGACCTGGAGACCCCCGGCCACAGCCTGCTCCCGCTCTGAGCGTCAGGAGGGAGAGGCTGCGCGGCTGAACTCCTGCGTGGGAGGAGACGCCCAGAGATGCTGCTCCTCTGACCAAGGTCCACAGCAGGTCTGCGCACAGGGGAGGCCTTGCTGTGTCTGCCACCCAGTGGGACCAGATCAGCAGGAGAGGAGGGGAGGAGGAGGGCAGAGGAGCTACATGGTGGGGGTGGGCAGGTCAGGCCCCAGCACCTCCAAGAAAATGGAGTCTCCCTTCCCTGGATATTGTGGACAAGAGGGCTCTGCGGGCCAGGCCGGGAGCTCAGGGTCTGAGGTCAGCAGGACACTGTCCTGAGGCTCAGAGGACAGGGAGGCCGCCCTGCCAACAGGTGGAGCACCCGGGAGGCAGCGGGGCAGGTTCCAGGATGGGCCGGGCCATGCTGTCCCCACCATGTCCCCACTGTGTCATGGACACGCACCTCGTGCTCTGGGCTTGAAGGTGCTCCTGGGTAAAAGGGCAGGGAGCACTTGGCACAAGGCCTGGCAGAGGGAGCACGCTGGACAGGGGAGCCAGGACGCTGTATCACCAATCACGGGCGCGGTTGCCAGGTGCCGTGGTACCCACTGCAGTGTGGAGGTGGGAGGGGACAAATAAGGGGCATCCAGAGCGGGGAGTGAGCCAGGCCTCCCCGGGAGGCTGCTGTGCTTCAAGGGGTCTCCCAGGTTCACTGGCTGGAAACAGTCCCCAGGGCAGCTGCCAGGAGAGTGGCCAGGAGGTGGTCAGGTCATGGGTGTCTGCCACCCAGTGGGGACCCCCACCCTCACGGTGGATGAGGGTCTTTAAGCCAGAGTGGGCTCCCTATCCAGAGAGTGAGGTGTTTTTTGGGAGGGGGGACTGGAGAGTGAACATGGGGAGCTTCACAACTGAGCCACATCCCCAGCTCTTTCCATTTTTTATTTTGAGACAGGGCCTCGCTAAGTTGCTGAGGCTGGCTTTGACCTTGGGATCCTCCTGCCTCAGCCTCTGGAGCCTCGGAGATTACAGATGTGAACCACTGCACTTGACAGGAGTAAGTTTGTTATAAAAGCAAGTGTGGGCCTAAACAACTTAGGGGGACCGTGTCTCAAAAAAAAATAAAAAGGAGCCGGGCATGGTGGAGAAAGCCTGTAATCTCAGCAGCTCAGGAGGCTGAGGCAGGAGGATCACAAATTGAAAGCCAGTCTCAGCAACTTAGCGAGGTCCTAAGCAACTTACCAAGACCCTGTCTCTAGAAAGAATATAAAAAGGGCTGGGGATGTGGCTCAGTGGCTAAACACCCCTGGATTCAATCCCTGGTACAGAAAAAAAAAAAAAAAAAAAAAGGTAAGTTTGGCCAGGCAGAGTGGTGCGCGCGTGATCTCAGCTTCTTGCGGAAGCAGGAGGATCCTAAGTTCAAGGCTGGCCTAGGCAACTCAGGGAGACCCTCAGCACAGCAAGAGTGACCTAGGGATGTAGCTCAATGGTAGAGCCTGGCAAGTGTGAGGCCCTGCGTTCATCCCCAGCCCTGGAAAAAAAAAAAGCAAAAAGCAAGTCCAGCCCTCCGGCCCTCCTCTGGCGCGCTCTCACCATGCCAGACCTCCCGCCTGTTATGACGCAGCAAGAACCTCAGCAGAGGCAGCCCGAGATCTGGGCCTCCAGCCTCCAGAGCCAAATAAACTTTTGCTTATGAACCACCTGGCCTGTGCGTACAGTGTAGCAGCACAGGACGGACTCAGAGAGAGGCCGAGGGGCCCGGAGCAGGCCCAGGGCTGTCTAGAAGGTACCAAGAACGGGGAGACGCTCAGGCTCTTCTGCCCTCCTGCAAAGGCCACTGGCAGATTCTTATAGGACTGGATAGCGCTGGCGCCAGCCCTGCTGTGACCCCCGGGAAGCCACTCTGGGTCCCTAGTGCTGTCCTCGGAAGGGCCTTCTGCGGCAGGTGGCTCTTTCTCGCTGTTTCCTCCCTGCTAGAGGAAGGGGTGAGGCCCGCAGCCTCCCAGCTGGGACTGAGGCTACTGACGGACGGGCCGGTCCTCTACCCCGTGCCGGACGCCTGGAGCACCCCACGCACCAGGGTCAGAGAGTGTGGGGCCCACGTCCAGCAAACAGGGCCCCAAACCACCTGTGCCACCCACCAGCAGCAGGACGGCGGGGAAGCTGCATCGCCTCCACGTCCCTGGGCTTCCATGTCCATCTGTAAAATGGGAAGGTGACCGCAGCCGCTTCCCAGTGCCAGAGGGAAGATTCGCGGGATTCACACTGACGAACAGCTCGTCCAGCTGCCCAGCACAGACTAAGCCCCTCCACAGTGATGGCCGCCCCGCCCTCAGCAAGGCCCACGAGAGACAAAGAAGTGGTCAGGCCCTATTCACGTGCCAACCAGCAACATGCGTTCCGCGTCCCCTGGTCACGGGGCTCCCTCTCCATCCGGCCTCCACCCTGCCTCTCTGCTGGGCCCAGGGACCCTTCCTGTGTCCAAGAAGCCCCCTCTGGCAATGTCCCAGCTGCACCCTCAGCCTCCCACAGCCTCCAAGTCTGGAAGACCTTAGAGAGGATGCCATCGACCTGCCTGCAGTCACCCGTATTGCCCAGAGGAGGACGGAGGGACCCTGGGGGAGAATCTCCTTCATGGGGTCCCTTGGTCTGAAACTCCACAAGACTGGGACAGTGGCGGTCCTGCTCCCCTATGAATGAAGATGGAGACTGGGCCCATCGACTGCAAGAGCAGTGTCCCAGGAAAAGCCCACTTTGGCCCCGGCCCCTGTGGGGAAACCAGGCCAGCCCCAGCCCAGTGGGCGGGGTGCCAGCGTTTCAGAGAACCCCAAGACACCCCCAAAAGGCATCAAAGGAAACAGTCAGAGGCCAGGGACTGGCGGAAGGCAGGGGGCAGGGCACAAAGCCCCCGCCTAGCGCAGGAAGAAACAGGCACCGGAAAGGCCACAAGTGGACCAGTGGGGACAGGAGGGCGGGAGACAGGATGTGGACAGAGGACAGGCCCCATGGGTTCTCCTGGGCTCAGGACTCTCCTTTCCTGCTAGGTCCAGCCGGGGGACCCACACCTGGGGACTCTCATTTGCTGAGCACGTGAACGGGTGGGCGGTGCATCAGCCGACCCTGACCTTTCCAGTGGTCTAGCTGCGGCGCCGTCCAGGAGACTCTGACCTGAAAGTGCAGCACCAGCCTCTGCGGTTGTTCCAAGGGGATTACTGAGTGACCCCTAGGTCCGAGGTGCCCCGAGTGTCTGCATCACACCTGCGCAGTCACGGTGACCCCTCAACACACTTTGGGAGGGTGGCGTTACCCCCGATTCACAGAGGAGGACACTGAGGCTCATGGAGAAGACGGCTGTCGCTCCAGGTCACCCAGCCCATGAATGACAGGCAAGATTCAAACTGACTCCTCTCCGTCTCCAGATATGCACATATTCAGGCTGGTGGCTGAGTGGTGCGTCATTCCCTCAGCCAGCCATGGGTTCTGCCCGCCTGGCCCAAGAACCCTCCTGGCGCCGCGAAGGAAATAACCTCAGAGCCTGCTGCCACCAGATTCCCTGCCTGGAGGGCAAAACCCCACCCAAAGAATGCTCACACCACCACCTCGGGACCTTGGACCCGCTGGCAGGAGAAAGCTGGCAAGTGCAGGGGCTGCTGAGCTGGGGCCCAGGACAGGCTCGGGGTGCAGACTGCTGGGTGGGAGGGCATCGCGGCCGAGGAAGAAAGTCAAGGCCTGTGGAAGGGATGAAAGAAGTCGGGGGTCACCGTCCTGAGGCCACAGCGCTGTTCCCTGGGCCGCTTCCCTCCACGGCGGCTGTGCAGGTGGCTCTCTAAATCTCTGCGAGAGGGTGGGACGTCCACAGTGGTCCATTATGGCTGCGCACTGTTGAGAGGCAGGACGAGCGTCCTCTGATCTGAACCCTGCACCAGCACAGTAGGCCCTCTAGCCCTGCGGCCGGGTGAGCTGGGCCCCTGGGGGTCTCGGTCCTCCCTGTCACTCACCAACTTTCCTTGGACTGCAAAGGACTTTGCATCCGGAGCATTTAGGGAGGAACGTTTCCCAGCCTTGGGAGGGAACTGGCCAGGACGCCTGCCTGGGGCTTCTGACCAGCTGGAGAGCCTTAGCGGCCAACCTCCCAGGGGCAGCAGGGGTCACCAGGCCCACAAAGGCGGTATGGGACAGGGGTGCCAGGCCCTGAATGTCTCCTACAGGCTTTTCCTGCTTTTCCTTTGAAGGGAACAGGGGGTCTGAGGCCTTCCCTGCACTGGTCCAGGTCCTGGGGGGTCAGACTGGGGTTGTGGCCCCTCATCACCTGAAAGAAGGGGGCAAGGGATGGAGACCTCTGTAGTCAGCCAGAGCAGGCTGGGGCCTAGGTCACAGAGGGTCCCTGTATCCCTTGGGACAGTTCAAAGGACGTGCCTGTAGCACCAGTGATGACAGCACATGCTTCCTGAGCTCCATCCCTGCTGTGGTTTGTTTCTCCCCCATCCTCCCTGGCACACCCAGCATCCATTGGGCCATCTCCTCTTTGGTAATAGAGCAGCCCCTCCCAGGTCCCACTGACACAGCTGCCAGGCTCAGTACTACATTTCCCAGCCTCCTTGCAGCTAGATGGGGGTCACGTGATCAGGTCTGGCCAATGGGGTCCAATCAATGACCTGGGCTCCTTTTGGCTGGCCTTTAAAAGGAAGGTGTGGCATCCAAATCCTTGGTTGTCTCAACACACACAAGAACAACGGAGGCTGGTAGATGAAGAGTGGCCATCTTTGACCAGGTGGATGGAAGGATGAGGGACACCCCTCTGGAGGGGCTCACATGGCAGCGTCCCATCCCTGAGACTGAAACGAGAACCTCTGATGTGTGAGAAATCAGCTCTACTGTCCGTTAGCCACGGTCTCTGGGATGCTGCTGGACGTGCTGGGCCAGCATCCTAACCCAGACCCGAAGGCTCACAGAGGGTAGGTGGCAAGTGGTGAAGCCCAGACTTGAACTTGGGCTCTGAGGGAGCTGGTCCAGAGCCAGTGCTCACAGCCAGTGGGCTGGATGGACTGGCACTGCCCACAGCACACAGGAGTGTCAGGTGGGGGCAGGAGTCGATGAACAGGTGGCCAGGGGCTGTCCTTGGCAGGATCTAAGCCTAGAAGGACTAGTGGTCTCTGGGCCCTAAAGTCATTCTCTGTCCCTGCTGGGAGCCAAAAACCTAACTTCTAATTTCATCAAATGTATCTCATGTCCACTGTCATCTTTGACCTTGATCCCCCTCAAAGAGGTCAGCAAAGGTGACATCCATTTTATCCCCGTTTTGCAGGTGAGGAGACAACCTGGCCACGTGGCAGCCACTTACCACGGGGTAGGTTCTTCTAGTTCCCTTGATGATGTTTTCTCATGCTACTAATGATCTATTAAGGACATCCAGAGGAGGGGACATGGGGACGTGCAAGAGAAGCCCAGGGAGCACTCAGGAGAGCCAGTGGCCACTGTGCCTGCAGAGGACCTTGGGAAGTCTCTTCCTTCTCAGACACGTGGTTCCCTGTTGAAGATGAGGACACTGGGTGGGACGTGGGCCCTCCCTGGTCCTTTTCTGGGAGCTACTGCTTGGTAGCTCCAGGAGTGGTCAGGGTCCCTGGCCACCAGGGATAGAAGTGACCCTGTGATGAGGGCCATGTCCTTCCCCTTGTCCCTCCCTCTGCCAGCATTTCACAGTTCCTTCCTGGGTCTTGGCATGAGGCCTGGCACCAGGTGGGACCAGTGTTGTCAAGGACCCTTATCCTTTGAGGAGGGTGAAGGGAGTGACATTGCAGAGTCAGGTGACAGACCACAGGCCTCCCTAGAAACCCAGGGAAAACTCCCCTCCTGGGTTCATGGAGGCTCTGCCCCACTGCCTTTGGGGGATGTCGGTGGAGAGAAGCCTGCCTCCCTGCACGGGGACCTTGGCACGGCAGCTCTGTGAGCCTCGGTGTCTTCCTCTGTGAAACAGGAGTAAGGGGAAGTGTGGAGGCCTTCTCTCCTAGGACTGCGGAGTGGATTCTGTGCATTTGAAAATAAAGTGCTTAAATAGAGCCTGTCTCATGAGTGCTCCATTAATACTATGGGTATATGGTTATTCATTGTTGATTATTAGTAATATAATTACTAATAATGTAATGAAAGGCTAACAGACATTAAAAATAACTGCAAGAGAAAGGGGCGTGTGTGAAGGTTGAGAAGGGGCAGTGTTGTGGGAGGATGCAGGCTGGGGCCCGCCTTGGTCTCCCCGGTGCCGCTTTGGGGTCTGTGGGTTCCCAGTCCGAGCAGCAACAGCGTCACCCGCCACTTTCCGTCTTTGCCAGTTCCCCCTTCAGACCCACTTAGGCACATCAATCATGTTGGGAATGGAAATTCCCAGAATCTCAACACTGAGGAAGACCCCAGGCTCGGGAGCCTGGCTCTGCGTGGAGAACTTGCCTCGCTGTCTCCTGGGAGACTCCCGGGGCCTTGACCTCCCGGAGCAGGAAAGAGCCAGTGTTCCCAGAGCTGTGGCTCTGGGAAAGCTCAGCGACACCCTGCAGAGAAGCCAGGGAGCCACATGGCCGGGCACCACCAGGGCTCTGGCCCTCCCCCCCTGCTGCTGGGCCTCTTCCCGCCTCACCAGAACCGCAGCAGAGAAAAGGCAAAGATTTGCCTGAAGCAAATACATCAAATCCTACCGCAAACACACATTCCCCTGAACGCGGACTCCAAAGATGGCGGGAGAGAGGCCTCCTGATGAGATTTCCTTGGGGCCTGCCGCCTACTTTTGCTGCTCGGCCTAGCTTGAGGTCCTGTAGTGGCTCTAGAGGGTGTTTGGCTTCTTGAAGCCCCTGCAGGCTGCTGTGTCAACCCTCGTCTCTGGGTACCATCCAAGGACCTGGCCAGTTGCATACCTGGGGTCAGTGACCTGTGCCTGCTGCCCAGCGTGGGCAGTGGCAGCAGTTGAGGACGTGAGTGCCGCACTCGGGCAGATCAGTCCCTCCCAGCTGCCTCCTCCTTCCCTCCAGAGGTCATTTTGCTTCCTTGGGCTTCAGATTCCCCATCTAGAAAACGGGAATGACAACTGTCCCTACTTCTCAGGAGATGTGTGAGAATCCAATGAGGTCAACACTCCGAAGCCTCAAACCTAGGCCCAGGCCCAGGCCCAGGCCTCTAAGAAGTGAGACACAACTAGCTCTCAGCTGGGAGATCTGGACACTGTGAGGTGGGTCAGATTTAGGGGAGGTGAGTCCCTCTTGCGAGAAGTGCTTGCTCCTCTGGGCCAACATTAGGCCCTTTCTGGCCTCTGGGTCAGTGGCTTTCCAGTTCCACTGGGCTGGAGACCCATGCAGGGGAGCTGTTTTTTAAATGCTGAGTCCCAGGCCCTGTGCTCAGACAGCCTGGTTCAGTAGTTCAGGAGCCAGGAATCTGCAGTTTAGTATCCCTCTGTCCCCGAGGTTGGGAGCAGATGTCACTGCTAATTGTGCTTTGCCTGCTCTGTGCTTGTGACGCACAGAGGGCTGGAGTGCTGAGGCAGAGGCAGACCCAGCACCTTCCCCAGGGAACTAGCTGCCTGGCAAGGGTGGGGAGCGCCTGCCAGGCTGCCGGAAGGAAGCTGCCGTGCTGGAATGGTCAGGTTTCCATGGGGATTGTAAGGTTAGAAAAGACCAAGCCCTGGAGCTTTGGTCCTGTCACACACAGAAAGCCTCCTAGGCTGCAGCCTTGGGGCATGGAGGCCTGGGGAGGCAGGGCCGAGGGTTCTGGAAGCATAAGCTGTCCTCATCGATCTTTCCCAGGCTGGGCATGGGGGGGAACAGGTGAGAGGGGCCGTGGGGAGACACTGGCAAGGCGGTATGGGGTGCTGTGGAGGCCGATGTGGGTTTCAGTACTGGCTCTGTCCTTTCTACCTAAATGACCTTGGGCCATCAACTTCCTTTCCTAAGCTTTGTTTCCATCTCTGCAAAGGGGTGACAACTGCGTCATCACCTCTAGAGGTGACTTACCAGCAAGCTAATGAAGCTTGAGCTCTAGAGACTCTGGTTTGGCCCTGACTCTCCCAACAGAGCGCTGTCACAGTCAGAGTCCAGCAAACCCTTCAGCAGGCTGTGACTGCAGGGGGGCCTCCTCAGCTTTGGAGTCTTTGGGGGAGAATGGCGGATACTGGCACTCTGTGCATGGGCAAGGAGTGTCCAGGGAGGGCCAGCTGAACTCCTGTTGACTGCCTGCCACCCCCATGGCCTTTCCAGACCAGACAGGCAGCAGGGAGGAGCAGGTTGGAAGGAGGAAGGAGAAAGGAAGAGATGGGGACAGAGGGAGGGGCCTGGGGGCAGAGGCAGTGGGGGTGGGAGCTGGAGGATCCCTCTGAGCCCCAGGCAGACCCCTTAGCTGCCCTATGCACCACCCTTAAAAGGGCCAGACCATTGAGCAGCCAGCCCAGGTGAGACTCTGGAGTTGACTTGGTTTTGATAATGACCTTCAAATATTTGAGCCCAGGAGGGGATGCAGGTCACCCAGGACCCCCAGCTGGGCGAGGTGTGGAATCCTAGGGCGTGGGCATCTGCCCTCCCCCCACTCCTATAGAGTTTCCTAACAGGAAGACCCCAACACACACATTCAGAGCCAGGCTCTGTCCAAGGCCCTGTGTCCCCCTCTGTAGTCCTCAATCTGCTCATCTCCACAAGGAGATGAGGAAGTGGAGGCTCAGAAAGGACAAGCCTCTGGTCTAAGGTCACACAGCAGGGGAGAGCAGGACAGGGGCCAGGATTTGGCCCTAACTCTAAATTGTTGCTCTGAACTCCCCCACGGCTACCGCCTCTGCCTCGGTCACAGGGGCATGTAGTGGGCTCGCAGGAAAGTGGGAAGGAGGGGGGATCAGGATGCACAGGCCGCCCTCTTCCCATGCCGGATCCGCGCCGCCCTCGGCCACGGGTCCCCACCTCCAGCTCGCCACCTGCGGGAGGCCCGGGAGCAGCCGCTTCCCC